GTTGTAGATCGCCAAACATGAGACTAATTTTCCTAAATCATTTCAATGTAAGCACTTAATCATTTTTACCTTGTCACTTAGGTTTTCCATTCTTCACTTTAAATACCATGTATTCAACTTAACGTTTTTTTTTCTCAATGGCGTCTGGAGCGGATTCATTTTTTTATTGTGGTCTCGTGCTGACATTGCCCACCTTCTGTTCTGAAAACTTTCAACACAACATGTTTCGTTTATTCCTTCAGTTTTTTGCTTTAAGTGAATAAGTGATAACCATGTTTAAAACTAATGTATGATGTAATCACCAAATAAACAGAATTAGAAGGATCATTGAATGTCGTTATATTGAATATAAAATCAACATTTACATATCGCATTCTCAAGTAGTTAATGGTGTTTGAAATTATTTGCAATCGGACGAAGTAAACATGTTTTGTGAGAAATTTGAGTTACCATTTGTGCTTGAGGACATAGCTTGTACAAATAGACGGTTGTGCCAGTCATACTCTGCAGCACAGTTACAAAAATACTGTCACACATATACAGTGTATACACTTCAGCAACGTGGACGGTATATATTGTAATAAAGTGACACCAAATCAAATGTAGCACAGTGACAAATATAAAATGTAACAACCTGTCCACAAGGAACTTGTGGCACAGTGACAACTATACAATGTAACAACATGTTCACAAAGCACTTGTAGCACAGTGACAACTAAACAATGTAACAACATGTCCACAAGGAACTTGTGGCACAGTGACAACTATACAATGTAACAACATGTTCACAAAGCACTTGTAGCACAGTGACAACTATACAATGTAACAACATGTCCACAAGGAACTTGTGGCACAGTGACAACTATACAATGTAACAACATGTTCACAAAGCACTTGTAGCACAGTGACAACTAAACAATGTAACAACATGTCCACAAGGAACTTGTAGCACAGTGACAACTATACAATGTAACAACATGTCCACAAGGAATACAGTGACAACTATACAATGTAACAACATGTTCACAAAGCACTTGTAGCACAGTGACAACTAAACAATGTAACAACATGTCCACAAGGAACTTGTGGCACAGTGACAACTATACAATGTAACAACATGTTCACAAAGCACTTGTAGCACAGTGACAACTATACAATGTAACAACATGTCCACAAGGAACTTGTGGCACAGTGACAACTATACAATGTAACAACATGTTCACAAAGCACTTGTAGCACAGTGACAACTAAACAATGTAACAACATGTCCACAAGGAACTTGTGGCACAGTGACAACAATGTACAACATGTAGCACAGTGACATGTAACAACATGTCCACAAAGCACTTGTAGCACAGTGACACAGTGACAACTATAACAACATGTTCACAATGTAACAACATGTCCACAACAGTGACAACTTGTGGCACAGTGACAACTATACAACAGTGTAACAACATGTATACAATGTAACAACCTGTCCCCAGCACGTGTAGCACAGTGACAACTAAACAATGTAACAACATGTCCACAAGGAACTTGTGGCACAGTGACAAATACAAAATGTAACAACATGTTCACAAAGCACTTGTAGCACAATGACAACTATACAATGTAACAACATGTCAACAAAGCACGTGTAGCACAGTGACAACTATACAATGTAACAACATGTCAACAAAGCACTTGTAGCACAGTTACAAAAATACTGTCACACATATACAGTGTATACACTTCAGCAACGTGGACGGTATATATTGTAATAAAGTGACACCAAATCAAATGTAGCACAGTGACAAATATAAAATGTAACAACCTGTCCACAAGGAACTTGTGGCACAGTGACAACTATACAATGTAACAACATGTCAACAAAGCACTTGTAGCACAGTTACAAAAATACTGTCACACATATACAGTGTATACACTTCAGCAACGTGGACGGTATATATTGTAATAAAGTGACACCAAATCAAATGTAGCACAGTGACAAATATAAAATGTAACAACCTGTCCACAAGGAACTTGTGGCACAGTGACAACTATACAATGTAACAACCTGTCCCCAAAGCACGTGTAGCACAGTGACAACTATACAATGTAACAACATGTCCACAAGGAACTTGTGGCACAGTGACAAATACAAAATGTAACAACATGTTCACAAAGCACTTGTAGCACAATGACAACTATACAATGTAACAACATGTCAACAAAGCACGTGTAGCACAGTGACAACAATACAATGTAACAACATGTCAACAAAGCACGTGTAGCACAGTGACAACTATACAATGTAACAACATGTCCACAAGGAACTTGTGGCACAGTGACAAATACAAAATGTAACAACATGTCAACAGAGCACTTGTAGCACAGTGCCAACTATACAATGTAACAACATGTCAACGAAGCACGTGTAGCACAGTGACAAATATATAATGTAACAACATGTCAACAGAGCACTTGTAGCACAGTCATTATCATTTACAGAAGCAAAGTGATAACCACACACTGCAGCTAATTGACAACCATGTGCTGTAGCACAATAACTGATATATACTGTACTTAGCACAGTGACAACCGTACACGATAGCATTGTGACAGCATTACAATATAATGTTTTGACAGATATACTCATTGTTGTATTGTAACACAATGTAAACTGTAGCTCATCGATAATCATATGCTTTCAGAAATGGACAGCAATACGTTGCAACATAGGCTGATATATAACACCATGATAGATGGACACTAAAGCAGTGACAACGAGACACTGTAACACAGTGACAAACATACACTTTAGCACTAACAACCAAACACTGTCGCACAATTACAACTATACACTGTAACACTGTGTAAACAATGTAATATACCATAATAACAGTTATACGCTATATCACAATGTAGCAAAGTGACAACCACACATTGTAGCAAAGTATTATATTGATGCCAATGTACTGCGACAGAGTGCCAACTAACTATTGTAGCATAATGGGAAATGTACACTGTAGCACCATGAGACATATTCACAGTAGTAAATTGGTGACAACATACTCTAACACAGTGACAATCATCAACTCTACCACAGTGAAAACTTTACCTGCAGCATAGTGACAACCCAGTGTAATTATATACTATAGTTCAATAGCAAACTGACAATCACATACTGTAGCTAAGTAAGAGCCATACACTGTAGCATTGTGACGACCATTCACTGTAGCAAAGTGACACCCATTGACTGTAGCATTGTGACAACTATTCACTGTAGCATAATGACAATCGTACAGTGTAGCATTGTGGCAACTATTCACTGTAGCATTGTGACAACTATTCACTGTATCATTGTGACAACAATTCACTGTAGAATAGTGACAAACATTCACTATAGCAAAGTGACAATCGTACACTGTACTATTGTCGCGACCATACACTGTAGCAAAGTGAAAACCATTGACTGTAGCAAAGTGACAACCATTCACTTTAGCAAAGTGACAACTACTCACTGTAGCAAAGTGAAAACCATACACTGTAGCAAAGTGACAACCATACAACGAACTACAATATCGACAGTTAGCGGTCCTGGTAATAAAATTTGCAATTATATGAATTATAAAACCGTTGTTGACAAAATGAATCATTTGTATAGATCAAGCTTCGAAATGGTTTCATTCCTGCTGTGTGTATGACGTAATATATATATGTAACAGTTATCATAGTATGTATCAGTAGTATCTATAGCCGATATAAATGACAAAGCTTAAGATGAACGTTAGTTAAGTTGTACAATGTGTCTTGTATGTCATCAAAATTGCCATAAAGTTCGATTATAAATGCAATAAGAATTGATATATGAATTCGTGCCCTTTGTTATTTATATTTTTGTTTGTGAGTTGTTTGTCGTTGCATTATGTAGGATTGGTTAAACAATGAAAAAATGTATGAAGGAGCAAAAAGGTTGCCTTTATTGTCATATATGATCATTTCTTTTATTTCTTTTTTTAACTTATATTTGAGTTACTTATGACCTTGCCATGGAAACACAGTATTTAGATATATCAACAATATGTCAACAATAATATAGTTTGATATATGCGAGATTGAAGTAATTATATGATATATAGGTATTAAAACATATCATAGCCATATGTAAAACGTGTTTTTGATTGATATATTACGGTAAATTAAATAAAGTACGTTATGTTCGGTATGTTAGGTAAATTACGGTATGTTACCAAGGAAAGCAAGGCATGGCCTACATTACCAAGTAGACAGGAGAGACCTTGCTCTTTATACCTAACGTTTATAGGTTCCAATACCTGGTTAATATCGAAATGAAACGTCTTCGATTAGAAAAATGCATGCACACGTCACACGTGGCCCATAACTCGCCAGCAATGTTTGTGTAAAGCACGCGCAGATAAGGGTGGGCATGAAGAACACAGCGTTGTTCTTGAGACACACCATATGTATATAGAGGTTTCCAATCCATCTGGTCAGATTTCTCTATACATTGTGTACTTCCAGCGAGAGTATACACAAAGTCCATCATCTATACATTTACCTGTGTTTATATACCCTATAGCAGTATTAATATTTATATCACGGACACGTGCTACATACTATCAAATAAATAAATTTCAAGATGATATACATAAACCAAATTTAAAGCAAATATTATTTATGTCAATATACAAAATAAATTTCTTCTCTACTTGCTCCATCAGCACCAATACGAAGCAAATATCAGTGTTCACGCCTATCGCCTACCAAATAAAATATCTAAGATAAATAATTACTTTAATTGGTTTTGATGACAACAAACAAATGATCTTAATGTCCGGATATTTCCACTTTTTGAGAATTCATCAGTTAGATCAATATTGTTGACAACGCTCATAAACATCCAATGCAATGATTTGTTAGGTGTAGTTTTCGTTTTACATTGATAACAATAACATACAAAAATAACAACGAAATATGAAAATACAAAGACTTACCTAAAATTGCTGCACGGATGTATAACCCAATTTCCTACTCGTTTGTGTCGCATCTTCTCCCTCATTAAAGAATTCCTATTTCCAAACAATTTCATGGCTAATTTATTATCCGAGGGTTGGAAAAAAGAAATGAATTGTTCTTTCAAGTAGCTTGTTGGACTAGTCTTTTGGTCTGTAGATGAGGTCTCCCCTGATCCAGGTAAGAGCTCTTCCTTTGGTGTTCCGTACAGGGACGTTTCGTCCCCTACAAAATGAACTTTAATATCATTGTTGTAGTTCATGTCTGGGCTGAGATAGTCGCTGTATACAGATTCCTCGTCAGACTCTATCGTTATAGTAATGGAAGGATTTGTGGGACGATTCGTACACTTTGGTAGACACGGCATAGTTCCGTCGGCCTTATCTGAGTTCACACCGAGGTTCATACGTTTGAGCTTCAAACTTGGCACTCGTTTGGACGGCTTTGGAGGTGTTTGGGAACTGCCGATTGGATGCGAGCTCTTACGTCCGGCATTTCCATTGGCTGATTTGGAAAACTTTACAGAGTCCGATCGGGTTATCTTTGGAGAAAGGTGTACCTGTTGTAAGGTACTGGCCTCGCTCTCTGTCACGCTGCTGGTAGCTTCACTACCTCCTTTAGATCGATGCAGGGCGGGAGGAGTATTGCGCGTAGGCTCGGGAGCTCGGCGGTAAGGTGAGTTCTGATTACTGGACGATTCTTCGTCTGACGAATAAGATACCGGGCGATCATGCTCCGATATATCGATCAGAGGCTGGGAAGAGGGGTTCCGAATGTTGGCCATTCTGCTGGTATGTGCTGGTGGCACCTGTAAGAACAAACATCAAAGAGATAGTTAGTTTCAGGTAAATACAAAGCATTATAGTTCAATCACGGCATGCTGAATTATTTCTCTGATTTGAATCGGTAGTGTTTAGCACGCGCACGAGTGCTGCTCTGTAAGAACAAAGATCAAAGCAAAACTTAGTTTCAGGTAATACAAAGCATTATTGTTGAAGAAGCATGCATATATTTTCTACCCGTTGAACCTGTAGTGTTTATACATGCACGCAAGAATTCGTTTCAAATACTACAAATCTACCTGCCCAAAATCTCTGAGATTCCGCCATTTCGTTAGATCGATAAACCCCCTTAATCCTATAAACTCACGTGTTTTTATGCCCAACGAAAAAGTCATTCCTGACAAAATATCCTTTTATCGCCAGGAAATGTGTTCGTTCCCTTTGTTAAAGATCCCCCAACACAAATCGAATCTGGTAACGTTGCGCGTTTGCTGTAAGCCACCTTTGCTATTGGAATTATACCTTTTCTATAAGGACAACAGCAGCGCCGACAACAGTGTCACCTATTTGTTGTCGTCACTTTATAGAGACGACTTGAAAGGGAAAGGGATAGGCCCATTCGAAACATCACATTTGTGTGTAAAGTAATGTATATTGTTATCCTCTAAGCGACCATTGAACGCTATCAAGAAAGCAAATTGAGAAAACAGCATCTCAAGGGAAATACTTGAACTTTAAATTGAAATCATAGCATTGCTTCGACGTCAGCAGGAACTATTTTCATCAATCTACAATAAACGAAATGACATATTAAAACATTCAAAGAAGGAATAATTAAACTGCGAGCCTTTCTTTAATGTTATTAGGACGTGTAGATAAGACCGGCATATCCACAGCATAATATGGAGGTTTCAACCTAACTCTTGATGACAAAAGTCACGTGTTACCGACATAACGATTTCAAATACTGACGACAGCAATTTAACAATGTTAAGCTGAACATATCATGTAAGAAATATTTAAAACTAGGTATGAAATGTAATACTTTTGTCATTTCCCCGTACAGGAAAGCAAATATTTTCTTAGGTTCTGTGATTGACGAAAAATGAAATTATACTTTAAAATACGAAGTAAGACATATGGGGTAAAGTCTATAGCAAAAATCTGTAGCTGGACTACATAATGATTATTAACAATTATGTTTTAAATTTGCAACATTTCTTGAAATTGATTATACTAAATACGTTCATTATCAATTTCATGCAAGTTGCTCCAGGAAAAAAGGGACATGTCCACTTTAGAGAAGGAAAAAAATATCTGATCTGAAGACAAACGATGTTTCTATTTAGACAAATTGGCAATTCATCAAGGAGAACATGTTCTGTAGTTAAAATTTAATGAAGATATGTGCGTGGTTTACGTAAGTGGAATGTACATCTGGTCCAATTTTCCGTTAAACGTGTGATTGAACTTATCTGCTATTTCTCGATTGATCTATCCATGCACCAGATCTAAGCCCGGAGATGATAAAAATAAGAACAAGGTATCGTGTTGTCCTGTGTTTTATCACACTAACAAAGGTTCTTGTTATTTGCAATTAAGGAATGCTGGTTTAGTTTCAAGGGACTAATTTCTAGAACAGGGATCGCGAGCACCTGTCCTGCTCGGGTTCTTCAGTAACTGCGTGCATTATCCAGGAACAACAGAAAGGTGTTCGTGTGTGTCCCCGATATTGCTGACATAATAGCACATGTAAATGCCGTGAGTCCAGACAGACATACGGGTTACCGAGGCGACGAGGTTGAGACACTGAAATGATTCGGCGGCATGAGGTCGTTTTGATTTAATTAGCACTGGTTTATTGAGCCCTTAATCCATCAATCAGTTGGAAAGGCGAGCATGTGTTAATATTTCCGTGTATATACATAAATATTGTCCAACTCGGTCTTCTAATATCCTCTGTATCATTTGCAATACTACTGATAAATGTGAGAAGGCGCATGCGTAGGTTACACTATGATTAAATGCTATAGACTGTGAAGCTGTCTAATTAGACATCCAGCTTACCGAATAGATTACTTAAACGTATCAAAACTTTATTAGCACCGGATATTGGTTGCCATGAATGCAAACTGCTCCCTCGAGCATTTCTGTAAATAGCACTGTTTCCATTGGACAGCGTATACCTGAATCTACTGACCAAAATCCCTGACATAGGGAGCTTCAAATTGTGTACAGCATGATGCACATCTGAATGAAAAGACAGGTATGTATATTGGAAAGAACCCATTTATCTTCGCCGTTTTTTTAAAAATGACAATAGCTTACAAGCATTCGTGTATTGATAGAGGTATATATCTAATCTAAACAAGAGTTACTTACGGGAACACAATAAGTTTTCAAACAACATCGGTATAGACATTATTTTCAATCGTTGGAGCAATGACGAATATAGTATTTTGTTTTCGTTTAGTTGTTTATGTATTTCACTCCATTTGATCGATTACTGTATATTTTCGCTTGTTTGGATTTATTGACAAACAAAAAAAATTAATGTCTGAACTTCGACGTCTGCGATTCTGAATTGCCAGGAAAATCTGATTTTCATTTACTCTCTTTCGAGGACTTGGATAGCAAATGATAAACTATTTATTGGAAATAATCTGAGCTCCTGCTTAGATTAAGCATTTGCATATGATAAAAAGAATGCCATTTTGTAAGGATGTAAAACAAAATGAAGATTATATTTGCATTTATGAGAATTCGATTACGTAATCCTTGTCTGCTCATTTGAGGGTTTATATGATGAGCTCTAAATCAGTGCGTTTGCCATGGAAACAGAGATGTAAAATTGCGATGTTTGTCATTTTTAATCTAATGCCTTATTTGTCATAAAAAAACTAGTTCCGCTTCCGAAACAAGGAAGTTGGATTAAAGTGCGAAATTACCTGTCAAATCTATAACGTCATTTCGCAGTGATACGCATGCGCTCTCACAATTGAATTGTAACAGGCCTGTATTGTCCTAATTGGCATTCTTTGTGCGTCTTATAATGTTAGGTTGTAGTGTTCTAATGTTTGACACAAATTTACAGGTATGCTATTTTGATTTCGGTATTATCGTGGTCAGCGTTATGTTTGAGTAGAGAATACGAACACAAAAAGTAGATGTGCAGCTGATTGAAATTGTTATCATTCATTTTATACACTGCTTATGTCAAGGGAGGTAATAACTTCAAGCTTCAGCCAAGGATACACGACACTTTACTCCCTTCCTATATAGCAATCTTTACATCAATACCTTCCAGAAAATTAAAATCCAATGTGTAATAATAGAAAACTGAAATATCAGCATAACGCTTAGATACGCGAGTAAGTATCCAAATGATGAAAAATAAACAAACTTCATCTGGCCTTTATCATATTAGAGTTATCAGGTGCAGAAAGAAGCATGATAGATTGCATGTGTGTTCGGTAAATGTGTATCATGGTTTTTCATCTGATTTTTTTTTTTTTTATTAATTCTTTGTTTTTGTTTATTTAGCTGTTAATTTATCTGTTATTTTTGTTTACTTTTTAGTTTTTGTTCTTGTTTTTGTTTTGCTTTGTTTTTATAAGGTTTTCTTCGTCTTTTTTACAATTCTAAACAAGACGACAAGAAAGCATAACTTACGAGATATGCTATAGTGTAAAACACACAAAGCCTTCACTCAGGTTACATCGTTAAAAACTAGAACTAGCTATAATAGGGGAAGCAAAGGATTTAAAAGAAATATGCGTTACGAGTTCTTTTACAAATGTGTTTTACAAGTTATCTTATATACCTACCTCTAACTCCAAGGGAGCAGTATCCTAGCAACACGGCTTGTTATGTAGCATTAGGTATTTTATTGTCTGTTAACATCGCTGGTTTTGATGTGCTTGTGACTAGAGAATAAAGTCAACTAATGACAGAGTGGTCGATCATATTCCGATTATACTATACAAATTGAAAATGTGAATATGATGAATTTTGATTAAAACTAACAATGGCGGTCATAAATTGATACAATATACACGTGCTTTGAAATATTGTGATTACTTAACCGTAATGTGTATTGCTCTGTGATTAGAGAAAGTATTACGATCTTATTAAACATATTACTAAACTGAAAAAAACTGCTGCAGTAAGACATATCACTGTAGTAAGACATATCATTGTAGTAAGACATATCGCTGTAGTAAGACATATCACTATAGTAAGACATATCACTGTAGTAAGACATATCACTGTTGTGAGACATATCACTCTTGTGAGACATATCACTGTAGTAAGACATATCATTGTAGTAAGACATATAGCTGTAGTAAGACATATCACTGTAGTAACACATATCACTGTAGTAAGACATATCACTATAGTAAGACATATCACTGTTGTGAGACATATCACTCTTGTGAGACATATCACTATAGTAAGACATATCACCGTAGTAAGACATATCACTATAGTAAGACATATCACTGTAGTAAGACATATCGCTGTAGTAAGACATATCGCTGTAGTAAGACATATCACTGAAGTAAGACATATCACTGTAGTAAGACATATCACTGTTGTGAGACATATCACTGTAGTAAGACATATCACTGTAGTAAGACATATCACTGTTGTGAGACATATCACTGTAGTAAGACATATCACTGTAGTAAGACATATCATTGTAGTAAGACATATCACTATAGTAAGACATATCGCTGTAGTAAGACATATCACTGTAGTAAGACATATCACTGTAGTAAGACATATCGCTGTAGTAAGACATATCGCTGTAGTAAGACATATCATTGTAGTAAGACATATCGCTGTAGTAAGACATATCGCTGTAGAAAGACATATCATTGTAGTAAGACATATCGCTGTAGTAAGACATATCACTGTAGTAAGACATATCACTGTTGTGAGACATATCACTGTAGTGAGACATATCGCTGTAGTAAGACATATCACTGTAGTAAGACATATCGCTCTAGTAAGACATATCACT